CTGTGTATCTGGATGTAGAACTCTCAGCTCCCTCTCTAGCACCATGTCTGCCTGCATGCCACCATGCTTCCCACCATGCTTCCGGCCATACTGATAACAAACTAAACCTCTGAATGCAAACAAGCCCAAAATTAAATGCTTTCTTTTATAAGAGTTGCTGTGGCAATGACTTCTCTTCACAGCAATAGAACATCAACTAAGAGAGAACGCAAATATTACTGGGCCAGAAGTCAGAGCTGTGGGGCTCTAGCACCCTTTGTAACATAAGTTGGCTTAGTTTATTATAGAGACATTCAATAAGCAGTGAAGGTGTGTTTACCTGCTCCAGAATGTCCTGGGCATTACTAGAAAAATGATCTCTGCCCTCTGGGTCCCTAGAAGGAAACAGGCAGAGACATAGCACACACTAGTTGCCCACACAGGGTCCTGGCCCTGTTAGAGAGACCCCAGCTAGGGCCCATGGAGCTTACGCATCATTTCACTAGGGTTCTGAATTGATGCCCAGAAACAAAGCAGGTTTAGTCTTGTGACAATGACACCTTGTTCCTTGTCCCTCCTGAGGAGGGTTTCCCTTCATGATGATCTGGCCCCTTCTGGTCATTTTCTCTACTCCTGTTATGAGCTATCCAAGTGGACAAAGGAGAGAAATATTGCTGGCTGTGCCTGGCCAAGATCTCATCTTCTTAGGGGTGTCCCAGACAGGAAGCAGACCTTCAATGTTTCCACCACCCTTGGCCTTGGGGAAAGGGTGGCCCAGGCCATCCCACCGAGTATGATGGGTTCCTCTCAGCAGTCCCACTCTGTAAATGGAGACTGTTCATTCTTTTCCTGGCTGCCTAGACCCAAATAATTACACAGAAACTATATCAATTACAACACTTTTTGGCCAATAGCTTAGACATATTCCTAGCTAGCTCTTATATCTTAAATTAACCCATTTTCTATTAATCTATGTATCACTACGAGGCTGTGGCCTATTGGTAAGGTTCTGGCATCTTTCCCTTTCAGTAGCTACATGGCATCTCTCTGACTCCGCCTTCTTTCTCCCTGCATTCAGTTTAGTTTTCTCACCTAGCTCTATTCTGCCCTGCCATAGGCAAAAGCAATTTCATTATTAACCAGTGGTAATAAAACATATTCATAGCATGCTGAGGGGAATCACCAATCCACCCTCCCACTGAGTGACATCCTCCTATATCACCCTTATCACTATCAAAAGATGTTTTTGGAAACATCTCCTGGATCTTCCAACTTACTTCTCATTAAGTATGAAACTTGTTTAGGGCAGAGGAAGTTTGTTTTTAGGTCCCCCAGGGAGTTGAAGACTTAGACATCATATACGACTCAATGGAATTCCTTGGGCAAGTTCCTTGGGCAAGACATGGTTGATGCCAATAACCATCCCCTCCTGTGACAACTTGATACCTTCTCCAGCTCTGATTCAGTGAATGAATTGGTAATTCTTCTGCAGAGGGGTCAGGTGGGGGTGGGTCATCAGAAACCAGAAAAAACTACAGATGAGGGGAAAAATTTTATTCAGGCTTTGAAAACTGAGACAAAATCTGACCTTGTTTTCTTTCCTGTAAAATATGAAGTTATCCCTCTTGCCTCCTTCATGGGATCCTTGAGAGTATTATACCATACACGCATTGTGGAGACACCTTAGGGACTATAAACTGCCCTATAAATTATTATATAATGCCCAGTTTACAGCACAAAAACTATCATTAGCAGAGGAGGTGTGGTGGTTTGAATGTAATTAGCCCCCATAATCTCATAGGGAGTGGCACTATTAGGAGATGTGGCTTTGTTGGAGTGGGTATGGCCTTGTTGGAGGAAGTGTGTCACTGTGGAGGTGGGCTTTGAGGTTTCCTATGCTCAGGATATCACCCAGTGTGCCGGTCAACTTCCTGTTGTCTGCGAGATGTAGGCCTCTCAGCTACTACTCTGGGACCACAACTACCTGCATGCTGCCATGTTCCCTGTCATGATGACAATGGACTGGACCTCTGAAACTGTAAGCAAGCCACACCAATTAAATGTTTTCCCTTATAAGAATTGTTGTGGTCATAGTGTCTCTTCACAGCCATAGAAACCTGAACTAAGACAGGAGGTGAAAGTGTTAAGTTGATGAACTATTTTAATCTTTTCACTATCAGAAGGAACTCCTCCATCATTAATGTTCACTGTGCCCAGTTCAGAAATGATTATCTTAGTGTCCACAGTCCTCAATTCATCTACCATGTCACCAGTCTCTTCTTAAAACATGGACAACCCGGAAAATCACTTACCTTTGTGCTCCTCTGAAAAGTTAAATTTCAGAGAGAATATTAGCAAAACAGGCCTCACTGCATATGTGCCATTCCTTGTTAGAATTTTTCAGACTGTAAATATCTACATGCAAGCATCACATTTATGAAGCAAATAGATTCTGGTGCCTTGGAAATGTCTTTCTTCTCCCCTTTTGTATGGAGAGGGGGCCAGTAGAAAACGTAGTGGCAATCAGATTCCTCTTGTAACAAGACAATGAAGCACTTTTGATGGGAAGGTATATTTAAACACTCACGAAGGCAGCAGCTGGCTTCTTTCGCTCTTGCTCTAATTAAGGGCTGTTTTCTCTGCAAAGAATGCTCAAATCACACCTCAATCCCCCCTGTGTCAAAAGCCTGTCTGGAAGACAGCTTCTCTTTATCCAAGAAGAAACAGCACACTTGTTTTTCTGCCTGTAGATGATAACTGCTTCAGAGAAAAGCTGCTGGCTTTGAGTAGCAATCTTATTTTATCCCTAGCATGTGGGTGAAGGCAGTATCTCCTAGGGACTGGAGAGGATGGAGCCAGGTGAGCAAGGATTGTTATGGGCAGGTGCTGTCAGCAAGCAAAGGGTCAGTGGGAAAGGAGAGAAAGCATGCTTTAAGGCTACATGGTTGAACTTCAGCATCTGGGGAAAGACAGGGGCCCAGGAAATAAGCCACCGGCAGACAGTTTAATGAGTTCAAAATGATAATTGCCCCTGTGTGGAAGTCACCCCACAGGGCAGGCTGTAAACTACACCCACAGCCATATGCTCGTGTTTCCACTGCAAGCCAGGTTTCGGGTGGAAAGGGGGAGGGCTTTGGAGTACAGCCATTGATCCTAGCACAGTGTCCAGACTCTCGGGTGGCCCGGGGAAGGACCATGGCTCAGAGGGGACCCAGCCCTTCACTTGAGCTAGTGCAATTCCTCTTTCTGGATGTAAGACTCCCCGTTATAATCAGTAAGACGTATTCAGCATGGTGGTGGGTATTGCAAGAATCACATTCCTAACCCCCAACACCTGGAGGATGGTATGTAGTTTACAAGGTGCTTATTCACGTATAGTGTAAATTTGTACCCCCCAATAATCCCAGGGAGCTAAAAAAAATTATTTGTTTAAGAAAATAAATAAAATTTCATGGTAATAACAACTACTCAGGCGAGGTATGGTGGCTCACAGCTGTCAAGTCTCAGGCCAAGGGACCAGGCATTCGTGGCCAACTTGGTTTATACAGTGAGTTCTGTATAAACTTGTGGACTGCGTAAGACTTCATCCGTCCTGGACAGTTCTGGACAACTTGACGTAAGCTAGAGTCATCTGAAAGGAGGGAACCTCAATTGAGAAAACGCCCCCATAAGGAAGGGCCAGTGAGGTGGCTCAACAGGCTGAGGGGCTTGTGGCACAAGCCTGGTGACCCGAGTTTGAAGAGTAGAATTCGTGTAAAGGCAGACGGGGAGAACTAGAAGAAAAGTATTGGCCCACGATCCCCAAGGCCAAGTTCTCAGCACAAAGGAGATCTATTTGCTCCAGAGGGACAGAAGCAGGGAATAGGAGACAAACTAGGAGACAGAGGAGGAGGGAGAAGGGAAAGAGAACAAGAAAAGGGGGCAGGGATACGTGTCCCAGGTGGGGACAAAGGCCTGCCTCTTGGATAGAGGGGAGACAGATGTAGCCTATAGGGAAATGGCAGTTTATAAAAGTAAAATGGTAAATCCCATGTTAGGATGAGGAGTTTGATTTTAATTAGGAATGTTAATTGGGTGAGCCAAAGGGGGCTTTTGATTGCTGGACCCTGGTACTCAACCTCAGGAGGCAGAAGTGGCCTTGGGGAAATAGATCTTGGTGGCTAGCTTTAGGGATGTAATATATCAGTTTTTAGCAAGGCAGAGAGAATGGGGGAGAAAGGCAAAGCCTGCCAGAGTCATGCTCACCATGTTTGAGCTAGTCAGAGTCACTTTAAGAACAGATGGCATGAAATTATCCCCCGACCTGCACATACATGCGTGCATGCACACACACACAAACACACACAAGAGTATATATATGTGTGTCTATGTATGTATGTATACATATTATTTATCATATATTAATTATATATAATATTGTGATACTTTGAAAGAAAATGCTCTCCAAAGGGAGTGGCACTAATGGGAGGTGTGGCCTTCTTGGAGTAGGTGTGGTCTTGTTGAAGAAAGTGTGCCACTGTGGAGGTGGGCTTTGAGGTCTCGTATATGTTCAAGCCATGGTCAGTGAGTCAGTCTACTTCCGATTGCCTGTATACCAAAATGTAGCAAGTCCTTCTTCAGCAGCATGTCTGCCTGTGTGCCACCATCCTCCCTGCCATGATGACAATGGACTAGACCTCTGAAACTGTGAGCCACCACCTCCATTAACTGTTTCCCTTTATAAGAGTTGCTGTGGTCATGGTGTCTCTTCACAGCAATAGAAACCCTAAGACAAATGTGTGTGTGTGTGTGTGTGCATGTGTACATATATATGTATACACTTTTAAAAGAACATTAAAGGGAGAGCATGGAGACTGGGAGGGCAAGTAGGGATTCACGTGCAGTGCTGCTTGGGCTGGGCATGGCAGTGTGGGAGAAGCAATCAGTCTGAATGTATTTTGGTTACTGCATCACACTGTACATTGACATGGTTGTTAAAGCAACCACAACCTGGTGGAAAGAAAACTATTTTCTTCACACAGGATTGGAGCTGGGAACCTGTGACTGTGATGTAAGAAGCTGGCAGAGCGGAGAGTTTACAATGATTCTCCTTCAGACCCAAGGTGACACGCAGCAGAAAACAACACAGTTCTTAGTTTGGGGCTTTTGTTTTGTTTTGTTTTAACATTGTATCTATATGCGATCTTTTTTTCAGCACTTTATCAGGAGATTTAGGTTAACATAAGGAGAACTAATGAAAGATGAAAGTATTAAAATAAAAATAGAAGAGAAACTTAATGTAAATAGTTAAATGTGTAGAAATGTACCGAAACAGATTGTCATAGTATTTCAGCAGCATTATTAACAAGAAGAAAAATGCATCTAGAAGTCAACTTGACCAGGCATTTTAACAAAGCAGTCTCTCATAAGATATTAGACGCAAATCCAATCAGCCATGAATTTTTAAGTTTTGAGTAAAGCACAGGTAATAGTTATTGGGTTTTAGTCTGAGGGCAGTATTTTGTTGGAAGGAATTTTCCCTTCAGGGGCCCCTTCTGGTTTTCTGGAATCTTCCCTTTTTCACTTTCATATAGACTCACATGAAAGCCAAGATCCACACGTAAGAGAGAACTGTCAGTGTTTGTGGGCGTGGCCTCCGTTAGTATAATAATTTCTAGTTCCATTCGCTTTCCTATAAATTGTATGCTTTTATTTCTCCTTACAGCTGAACAGAATTCTATTGGCTAGACGGCCATACTTTCATTGTCCATTCATCTACTGATAGACAAGTAGGCGATTTCCTTTTCCTGGCTGTTGAGGATACAGCAGTGAAGAACATGATGAGCAGGTATCGGCCTCCGCTGCAGGATATCGATCATCTGAGTATATGCCCAGGAGTGGTATAGCTGTACCGTAGGACAGACCTACTTACAGCTTTTTGAGGAACCTAAACACTGATTTCCATAAGTGACTGCACCAGCTTGCACTCCCACTAATAGTGAACAAGTGTTCCTCTTTTCAAAACCCTCTCCAGCATTTGCTATATTTATTTAGATTCTTTAACTCATTAAACTGAATGAATTCATTCATATAGAGCAAGTCTCACTGGCAAAGTCGCATCACTGGCATGGTTCTTAAGACCACACGACAAGTAGAGCCCACAGACAGAACAGTACTATGGGGACCGTCGCTGACCTCCATCTTAACTCATTGAGAAGTGTAAAACAAAAGGAGAAAAGGAAGTAAGATAGCCAGAGCTGCTTCTGGTCCCTGAGGCTGAAGCACTGAGCGCAGGAGAATCCGCGGGGCTGCTCTTTCCATAGACTGTGTGACGACCACTCTTTCTTACTTGTTTGTTTTTGATTTTGTTTTGTTTTTCGAGACAGGATCTCTCCGTAGTTTTTGGAGCCTGTCCTGGAACTCACTCTGTAGATCAGGCTGGTCTCGAACTCACAGAGAGCCACCTGCCTCTGCCTCCTGAGTGCTGGTATACTCCACCAGCACATTAAAGGTGTACGCCACCCGTGCCTGACTACGCCACCCGTGCCTGGTTACACCACCACCGCCTGGCAGACGACTGCTCTCTTTCGTCAGTTCTTCTATGTGTGGAAACAACTACAGGACAAGCGCTGGGCACTCCTATAAGGAATTTTCTTGATCAGATTATTCAAAGTGGGAAGACCCACCCTAGTGTGGGCTGCACCTTCTTCCTGTGGCAGCTGAGGCAGGAGGTGGAAGACGAAGGGGGTTTTAGCCCATCTTTCTGTCTCCTTGCCTGGTTGATGAACTCTCCCTGGCCAGCTCACCAAACATGTTTGCTTCTACTGCTACATTCCTTTGTCCAGTGTTTACAACCCAACTTTGAGCTTCAGTGTGGACGGAAGACCAGTGGTTTTCCAGGAACCTTCTAGGCCTTCAGCACCGGATTTGACTGCTGAGACATTGAGCCCTGTGGACAAACATCTACAGGATTCTGGGCCTCTCCATTGTGAGACAGTCATTGTTTGATTACCTGGACCATACCGTGTAAGCTGGGCTAAGGACTCCTCTTTCAGTAGATATTCATTCTATCGGTTCTGCTCCCTCAGAGGAACATGACTGATACAGACTGCGTCTCTAGCTGCTAATTCAAGGAATCAAGCAACCAAGTGGATTGAATTCTCATTCTTCTCACACAAGAGGAATAGGAGGGGTCCAGTATGAAGAAAACTGTCTTTGACTTGGTGGCTCTGCTCCTCTGTGTATAGCGTGGGTGTTTGGCTGCTCAAATTGGCTCCTCGTTCCATATCTTGTCATGGGCATGTGGGCCAGAGCTAAGCATCAGTCATGTTTCCTGACTGCCACCTATGTGCCAGCTCTCTGCTGTTTGCTTCGTTCGCCTTTGTCTGCACAGCCCTTTAATTCAGCCCAACACAGGTCTTTACAACGGGGCCGCCATTGTTACTGCTTAGGATTGAGTGATGATGGCCTTGCTGTCTGCTCAGTGGCAGCCTAAAGGTCTCACAGTAAGCGCATGCCTTACTCTGATACTGGATTATGTTCTTTTTTATTGTCTTTCTAAACATTGGTCTCACTTTGTAACCCAGGCTGACTTTGAACTTTCAGTCATCTTCCTTTACCTGTGCATTGTTGGAATTACAACGTGTGCCACCACCCCTGGATCTGGAACTGAATTACGTCGCAAGGAATCTGAGCTTACTTACACTTATATCCTCTTGATTTTCTGGGTTTTTTCTTTTCTTCTTCTCTTCCTTCTTTCTAAGCAGTGTTTCTTCATCTTGTAGTCCTGGCTGCCCCGGAACTCCCTCTGTAGACCAGGCTGGGCTCCAGCTCACAGAGTTTTGCCTGCCTCTGCCTCCCTAGTGCTTGCATTAAAGGTGTGCACCACCACGCCTGACTGATTTTCTGCTTTTAAATTGAGCAGCCTGCATTGGATTTCCAGTTGAGAAGGCAGATGACAAAAGCATTCTGTGAGAAACCCTCCATAGACTCCATAGACAACTAACTGTCTAAGTGTGTTCCTTTCAAAATATATGTAGACAGTGGAGGCATGCTAATTAAATAGAATCCCTATTTTTGAACATTCTAGACAGTAAGTGGCAAAAAGGAAGAAAAATACCCTAAATTATTGTTATTTGCAAGAATTAAAGCTGGGTGTGGAATTTCTGGGAGTCCAGAGTTGGCCTGGACCACACCACATAGTGAGTCTCACAAAGACCAAGCCCCCAAAGTAATAATAATAATAATAATAATAATAATAATAATAATAACAATAATAATAATAATAATAATAATAATGGTGGTGGTGGTGGTGGTGGTAGTATTTTTAAAGAATTATTAGAAACAATACAGAGTCACTAGTAGAAACCGTTTTCTGTCATCCTCAGTGAGCAGAACCTCAGGGGTCAACTTGCTCACTACCAACCAATGCAGAGACATTTAGTATTGTACAGAAATTCGTGAACACCCCACAGTGAGATCAGAAGAAAGGTTTGGGAGCCTCGTGTCCAAGACTTAAAGTGGAGACCTAAAACCTGTGCTTCATTATCTTTCAGTCACTCAGAAAGAAGTCAGCTAATACACACCAAAGGCCCACTGCTGCAAGAACCGCGGGTTTCTGTCAAATTTCTCACATTTAAAGAAGTTATACAGGGACACATAAGGCCATTCTCACCCATTTGTATAATATACTTTGATCATGTCCCCCTAGACCCCATTATACACACACACCCTCTCTCTATATCTCTCTCTCTCTCTGTGTGTGTGTGTGTGTGTGTGTGTGTGTGTGTGTGTGTGTGTGTGCTCATGTGCATGAACTGTATGGGTGAGTGCACATGGGATGTAGAAGTCAATGTTAGGTATCTTCTTCAATTGCTTCTTCACCTTATTTTTTTGAGACAAGGAATCAATAAACTTGAAGCTCACCAATTTGGATAAGATGGCTAGCCAGAAACTTCCAGGGATCTTCCTGTCTTCACTTTCCTAATGCTGGGATTACAGACAGACAGACAGATACACACACACACACACATGCACTGTTGTGGACTTTTAGCTTAAAATGTGTTACATTTGTTTATGCTGTGGAACATTTGCTTAATGATGCAAAGATATGTTGCATTCTTTTATGTTGCATTTGTTTGACTCTGTGAAGCTGTGTTACCTTGCCTTCCTAAAACACCTGATTGGTCTAATAAAGAGCTGAACAACCAGTAGCTAGGCAGGAGAGAGAAATAGGCAGGGAAGCCAGGCAAAGAGAATAAATAAGAGGAGAAATCTAGGCTTGAGAGAGAAAGAGTAAGAGGTGAGAAAAGGAGAGGAGGGGGGTGTCAGGGGCAGCCACCCAGTCACACAGCCAGCCACAGAGTAAGAAGGAAAGTAAGATACATAGACTAAAGAAAGGAAAAAAGCCCAGAGGCAAAATGTAATTAAAGAGAAATAGAAAAATTTAAGTTAGAAAAGCTGACTAGAAATAAAGAAAACTTAGGTTGCACATTCATAGTAAGTAAGAATAAGTCTCCATGTATATATTTGGGAGCTGGGTAGTAGGCCTTCAAAGAGTTAAAAAAAAAAAACCCAGCTACAGCACACACCTCACATGGCACTTTCACTCTGGTGCTGGGAATCGAACTTAAGTTGTCACTTGAACAGCCACCACTTTACCCATCCAGCCTCCTTCCCAGACTCTGTGTGGGGTCTTTGTCCCCATCACATTATTGCTACTATGAAGCTCCACACAGATTAGTGTAACATTTTTATAAGGAAAGAGCCTAGCGTTTGTCTGGGGGAGCTGTGATCGCGAATGCCCTCAAAGCTTTGAGAAGTCCTGAGTAGCTGATTGAGGTCAGGGAAGGCTGGATTTGGAGCAATGATGCCGTGTGAGAAAAATATGCCCAGAGCTTCTGAAGGGTGCACAGCAGATCCAACGTGGGAGTGTGGCTGGAAGAGGCAGGCATGACTGCTTGAGTTCATCCCAAAGAAGATCAGAATAATTTTTCCTTTGAGTTCAAAATATCTCCCTCACAGCTTTCAGTACATGGATCTTTATAAGTATGTCTAAATGTAAGAAGATTGCTTCCTAGTGCCCCCTCTACATCGCCATGGAAACAGCACGGTGCTCATATGTCAGGTGTGAGCATGCACATGCACGCACACACAGCATGCTAATAGATTCTCAAGGAAGTGTCTTTTATGTTTTCTCCTTCTGGCTGCTCTTAATACTTCTAAAATGTATACACTTGAAATAAATTGCTAATTCTTATCGTCTAATTATTATCTATAATCTCTCTTTTATTTTGACTCTAGAAGTCGCTGACTGGAGACTTTTCTTCAGCATAGCCATTCTGGATGCAAAATCATCTGTTGTTGCCCCCTTGGGTGATTCCAGTTCTTCTCCTATTCCTTAAAGAAACAGACTGGAGTTCCCAATTCCTACAGCTCAATTTTAAAAGGAACCAGAGGCTAGGGGTGTTAGCTCAAAAGAAGAACTTGCCAACATGCATCAGGCCTTGAATTCTATACCCAGCCCTGCCAAAGTAAACAAATAAATCCCATTTTAGATTCCATTTGATTTCTTTGATAGGCACAACGATATAGTTTGTATACTTCATGCCCTTATATATTCTTAATCTGAAATACTGTTTTAAATGGAGAAGATGGCAGTTTCTTGGGAGAATGTTGATGAACCGCAAGCTCATGAATCTATGTAAATTTGAGTGGAGACGCAGATCAATCATTGATTTCAGTGAGTAATTCTTGGGCAGCTACCATTTGACCTTGGCCCTTGAGAACTGAGCTATGTGGAGAAGGTTGTGATTGCGGAGAAGGTGCTTTGGAGCCCAAGAGTCAGGAAGCCAGTTTAGGAATTCACCACCATGAGCTGGGAGTTTTCCCTTCACTTGAATGGATGGGGTGTAAGTTCCAACCTGTGAGATATGAGCACCTTGGACCAGACGGTCTCCCTGGTCCCTTCAGTTCCAAGATGCCATGGCTGTACCCATACTTCATCACCAGGTTCAACGGAAGTGGATGGTGACTTAGGTCGCCTTAGTTAAGTACCGTCTTTCACTAAGTACTAAGTAGTACTTTTTAAAGTACTTTTTTACTTAGTACTTTACTTAGTACTTTTTTTAAGTACTAAGTAGTGACTCAGCCACATCACTGGGTGTGGTCTGGCACCCTAGCACAGTCATCATCCCTGTGTCATCAATCTACCAAATGCCTTGGCCCTCAAGGGCCACACCATGTTTTTAGTGGCATATTATTTGTGTTTTAGTAAATAAAGCTTGCCTGAAGATCACAGGGCAAAGCAGCCACGCTAGTCAGCCATATAGATCAGGGGCACACACCTTTAATCCCAAGATTCAGGAGACAGAGGTATAGGGATCTTTGTGAGTTCGAGGCAACCCTGGGCTACATAAGATCGATCCAGAAACAGATCCAGGTGATGGTGGTTCACATCTTTAATTCCAGTATTTGGGAGTTACACACTTTTAATCCCAGCACTAGGGAGTTGGAGACAGGAGTGATAGGGCTGGGTGGAGAGAGGAATATAAAGGGGGGAAGAGACAGGAATTCAGTGGAGTGTGGAGTCTGAGGATTTGTGGAAACAGGCTTTGTCCTTTTGGTCTGAAGATTTAGTAGAGGTAAAAGGTCTCTCTAGTGGCTTTACTCTTCTGGATCTTCAGCATGAACCCCAATATCTGTCTCTGGGCTTTTATTACCCATGCCCCACATATCCAGATCTGCCTTCTTTACTTCTGTCCTTTGTCACTCTTAGGCCGAGACCAGCCAACTTGATAAGTTCCTTGATGGCAAATTATCCAGGGGCTGTATCTGCCAAACACAGGACTGTGTGCTACTTAGCCCACGCTGGCCTTGAACTCTGGACTTTCTTCACCACTAGTAGGTATTATACCCCCACACTCAGTTTTCAAGGTAACATCCTTAAATCGTAAAGTTAAATTGTTGGAGCTACCAACCAGCCTGCCTGTTCCCTCCCACCACCCTTTCTGTGCTTTGCTTCTGTCTCAAGAGCAGTCCTGGAAGTTAGCAGCTCAGGACAGGCTCCATCTGAGCTGATGATGGCCTGCAAAGCTGCTACCGCCAGGCAGATCTTCCCTTCCCCCAGTCCTCCCCTGACTCAGTCCTCTGCAACTTGCTGTCTTTCATCTTACCAGAAAGCACACACATCTTGGGATTGTCTGTTGTCTATCTTCCCCAGTGGATCATAAGTTTCACGAGGTCATCATGCCCCAGCACATCCAGGGCCCGGCATCCAGCAGGGGCTGAGGGGATTTCTATTAAACTAATGAACAAAAGCACTGTCCTAACCCAAACACGAGGCAAGAGTGGGAACAACACTCCCACTCCCCTGCTGGTAGGGAGAGCATTTTCTTGTATCATGTTTTACTTTTTGAGATCGCTTCTCCTACGTAGTTCAAGCTAACCTTAGATTCAAGGCCATTCCCCTGCCTCAGCTTCTCAAGTATTCATCACTTTGCCCAGCTAGGAAGGTAGTTTTTTAACAAATAAAACTTCTCTCTCGTGGCTACTTACGCTGCTCATGTGGCTTAAGTTTGCTGTTGAAAACTAGTATACAAAGAGATGGGCTCCTTTTTGGCATTTTCAGGCGTACACATCATCACACCTCATTCGCATTCATTCCCTCCCTCTTTGCTTCTCTCATTTCCCTCCCCACTCCCCTGGTGCTGGCCCCTTTTCTCTCTCTGCATTTTTCTCCTGCTTTGTTACGTGTGCTCCATTACACTCTCTTCCCTCCTCCAAGCCTGAAGATTATTTTCTCCTCTCTCACGGTCTT